CGCGGGCCCGGCTGGCCCGGCTCCCCGCAGGCCCGGCTCCCCGCGGGCCCGGCTGACCCGGCTCCCCACCGGCCCGGCTGACCTCCCGATTTTCCCGGACATGCCCGGCTTTTTGGGGGATTTTCCCCCCGGACGGGGAGTTTGTAGCCCCCAAAAGCCGGACATGTCCGGGAAAAGTACCGGACGTATGGTAACCCTACGGTCACTCATTCCCACCTTCTGAACCCTCTAACTCCCTCATTCTACACACGCCACCTAGTGTCCTCCTGGCTTCCCCGATGCATGGCGGGGGCTGGCTCACTGCACGGGGTGGGTTGCACTAGCATGGCTGTGGGAGTGCTTTGGTCAGGCTCATCCGTTGGTCCCTCAGCACCGACCCAGGGTGGTGATGGGCTACCCAGTACCACGTGTGCATTGCAACACTCCAGCTGCATCCAGAGCCCTGTTTGTGCATACACAGAGTGCCTGGCTTGCACACACACGAAGAGCGCCCAGCTTGCACACATGCAGAGTGCCCGGTTTGCAAACGCGCAGAACGCCCGGCTTGCACACACGAAGAGCGCCCGGCTTGCACACATGCAGAGTGCCCGGTTTGCAAACGCGCAGAACGCCCGGCTTGCACACACGCAGAGTGTCCAGTTTGCACACATGCAGAGTGTCCAGTTTGCACACATGCAGAGCGCCCGGCTTGCACACAGACAGAGCACCTGGCCCCCCTCCAGGAGCTGGCAGTGGTGCCCAGCGAGCATTTCTCCTTCCCGCCTGCATGCACTATTACAGCAGCAGAGAATGAGATACAGTGCAGGTCAGCTGTGATCTGCAGGGCCCCTTCCGTAAAGCGCCGCACTGCGTCTGTGGACACAGCGATCCGCTTGAAAGTCACCGACCTTAGGAACATAGGGGGCAGGAAATAATACGGTGGAGCAAATTAGCCCGGAACTGTAAGTGCTGTGCTCGGCTAGCGCTGCTTTCACAGCAGGTGTGAAAACTCAAACCCTTCGGGATCAACTGCCTGCAACTGGCTTCTGCTAAACTTACACTAATGCTGACAAACTGCGTTTAGCCTCCAAATCAAGGCAAATGTACCAGGCGGCTTTGGTTAGCCGGGAATTCCCCATGGCCAGCCCCGTCCTTTGGGGATCTGAGCCCAGGAGGATATTTCAGCTCCTCGTTAACGATGGGACAGATCGTTAACAGAAGGGCAGCAATAGTCAGGTGTAAAGGCCCAGGCACACCGCTTGCCTGGGCAGTGAAGGGATGCTTAGGAAGCGCCGCCCATTTCTGAAACTCGTTAGGGTCTAGCGGGATTTTTGAAGCCTCTAAACCCAGCCCTAACCCGGTGCTGTGCTGATCACACTGTGCTGTGACGCTCCCTCTGCTGACCATGGCACCAGCACCGCCAGGGCTAGCAAATGGCCGGCTATATGCTTTTCACATTCAGAGCTGGAAGGGTCATCAGCTTCACTTTGTAAATCAAATAACCCCTCTCCGGGCAGCCTGTGCAGCACCGAGAAAGGTCGCCCCCTGTTGGTGAGAAAGCAAGCAGGCAGGCCAAGGGGCAATCTGTGCAGATCGTTAAGTACTAGCCAGCATCTTTCTGTGGCTACAGAGGTCTCAAGGAATGACTCGTGTTCAGACCTGCCTGAAATTCAGAACGGGTGGAAGACCACATCACACACAGCGCTAGTGAGAGGGGCCAAGATCACCTACCAGTGTGATCCAGGATATGACATCGTAGGAAGTGACACGCTCACCTGCCAATGGGACCTCACCTGGAGCAGCGACCCTCCGTTTTGTGAAAAAAGTAAGACAACTCCCCCACCCCACCCCACCCCCACACACACACTGCTTGGTATTGCTGGGTTCGTGCACACAGTCAGCCAGGTCCAAAGCCCATTCAGATCAATGGGGAGCTTTCCTTTGACATCTCTGGACTCTGGATCAGACCCATTTAATGTCAGGGTGCATATGAAATGGGACTCGCTTGTGCTGAACACATGCTGAATAAAGCGTTTTCCAACCTCCTTCCCGTGACTTTGCCAGTGGACTCCACACCAGTCCATTTCAGAGCTACTGATCTGTTTATCTGCCCCCACTGCCTGCCTTGCTGCTTGTCCTGTGTCACGTTCCTGTGAGGAGTTACACAGCCTGTTTGTCTCTAGTTATGTACTGCACAGACCCTGGGGAAGTGGACCACTCGACCCGTTTAATTTCTGATCCAGTGCTGCTGGTTGGAACCACCATTCAATACACGTGCAACCCAGGCTTTGTACTGGAAGGAAGTTCCCTTCTTACGTGTTACAGCCGCGAAACAGGAACTCCAATCTGGACATCAAGGCTACCCCACTGTGTCTGTAAGTTGGGCTCCATGCTCTATGGTGTTGCAATTATTTCTCTTCTCGCGGCTGCAGTTTTACTTTACTCCTTGTTATCTGAATTGATTTGCAAGTTTCCCATTGGGAATTCAGAACCCGCTGGAGGAAGCAGTGGATGAGCCCAGGGTCCCAGCAGACAGTCCATTCTGTAAGCACCAGACATACCAAGCCAGGCATCAGAAACCATTGCTCCTGTTCTGTCACCTCCAGTTTCCTCCGGGCTTTTCCCTCCTTTCAACAGCGAGATCTTTAGGGACGTTCTCCCGGCTATAGCCCCAGATGCCGTACACTAGATACCATGTGGGCCGCACTGGTCCCATCCATCCAGGAGGCCTTTTCTTTGTTGCCGGAAGTTTGAAGAATCCCTTCCTACACACCAGCAATTCAAAGCAATTAATAACAATTCAAATAACCAGGGTCTAGAATGAGAGGATAAGTAAAAGCTCGTTAAAGAGGCTGATGAGCAGCAGGGTAATAGAAACACCCCTGATAGCAGGTCTCCCTGCAACAGCAGAACAAGCAGCACCTGCTGCTGAAATCACTGTGGGTTTTGTTCTGTGGCCTCCCATCTCGTTTGCAGAAGACCTGTGTCACCCCATCTCCCTGCAGGGGTGCTACCAGCTCCTGACCCTGCCTGCTAATGGGGTCCGATACTGCCAGAGCGGAAGGCAACGCTGACTGGTGCAAGGAAGGTGAAGAAACTCAATATCTTCCCTGCTCAGCAGCTCCTGCCCCTTTGTCCCCCAGCTCCTGATCTAGAGCAAAGGCCACCCCAGTTGTACGCTGGCTGTTACCACCAGCAGAGCTGGTCAAATCCCTATTACTGCGAGACAGTGCCGCCTTGATTTCATTTCGCAGGCTTCAAAATTGACCCATTTTTCAGTTTTCCCCCATTTGTCATTAATATTGCTTTCAAAATTGGGGAGGTGTCCACGTTCCTTGTCATTTCAATGGCCATGGCCAGGATTTTTCAGTCAAAACTTGGGAAAGGGGCCAGAAGATGGCAGGCCATTTTGTAGGTGCTGACCATGTCGGCCGTTTTCATGAAAAGATCAGTGGTGTCTTTTTTTTTTTAAGGCCATTTTCAATGAAAAAACATATTGAAATGGTTCAAGCAGTGAAAACCCTACTCGCCCCAGGGGAGATACTCCTCACACGCAGGGAGCATGCTGCTTCAGCGAGCCAGTGCCCTTGTCCCTACAGGCACCGTTCGTGACCACTTTCCCTTCAGTGATCCAGCCAGGCCTCCAAGGCACCAAGTATCACCAGCCCCAGCTAGTCAGAATCATGAGCTGGACCCCAAAGATCATGAGACTGGCTTAAAAATCATAAGGTTTTAAAAAACGATAAATGGGGAAGGTGGGTTTTTATTGGTTGCCAGGACTTTGAAAAATGCAAGCTGAGAGTCTCGTGTAAATCACCTGACTCCGGGAGCTGGGGCTTTTAAGAGGAGTGCCAAATACCATGAGAGACATGATCAAATCACATGAATTGGCAGCACTGATGCTGCATATTACTTCTCTTGGGAATCTTTCCAGAGTCCATGTCGTGTATTGGAGGGGCGGGGGAAGGGGTGGCTGGCGATGCATGAACTCCTGTCATTTGCTGGGGAGGGCGCCAGATCTGCGTAAGTGTCTGTGATTTTGCCATGCTCTCACTCCTGCAGGATACAAACCCAGTAACCCGTACCATAAATGGCAAATGTCCTTTAGCTGGAGGAGGCCTGTAATATGGCGTGGAAGATCCTGAGCTCGCACCTTGCTGCTGACCAGGCAGCTGTGCAACCAGGTTCCTTACACGAGGGAGCTAGAGGGCCGAATCTAGGAGGAGCGCTGTCACCCCCCCACACCTTTTGCTGCTGCCTGTCGCCTTCCTTTTAGCATGCTCCCCAGCCTTTGCCTGGCAGCGGCTGGACAAGTCAGTGAGCTAATGGCAACGATCACCTCCCTCTGCTGGCATTCTGTAGCCACTACTCACTGCCTTACTGGAGTCCTCGGCTCTGCCCTGCCTCCTCGGGAGCACAAGGGGAAGGGGCAGCCTCCTGGACCCTGGGTGACAGTCAGTGGTTGGCCTGGCCCCAGAAATGCTGGTGTTGGGTCAACACCCAGCCTGGGCAGAGCGCCGGTCGGGGTTTAGCTACTGCTTCCGCCCCACTCAGAACCGGGACTCTCTGCGCCCCTCACTGTGCCTGGACCAGAGCAGCTGCCCCAGTGCCGCAGACTGCACAGCGCATGCCCCCGGGGCTCCTAGCACCTTTACAGGGACACACAGGGCGCCCCAGAAAGTGCTGGCTAAGAGCTGACGGTGCCCTTGCCCCGCTCACTTGCAACCTGCCTGTTCCATGCAGCACCCAGTCTCTGCTCCCTCTGCTGGACACTTAGCCCAAGCCGGCTTCCCCCCTAAATGTTTGATTTCATAGCAAGAGACAAGGGGGAGGGAATAGCTTTTACTGGACCCGCTTCTGTTGGTGAGAGAGACCAACTTTCCAGCGGCAAGGTATTCCCGGCATCACAGCTAAGTGCAAGGTGGAAGAGAGAGTTTAGCATAAGTCGTCAGCACATATTCTAAGGGCCCATTCGAGGTGGAGTGGCCTGTTAACACCAGCAGTCATAGGATAAAAAGAAGGGGTAAGAGGGGTTCCGGATTGTAAACAGTTGTGTAAAAAGCTAAGGGAAAGCTTTGGGCCCGATCCCCAGCCGGTGTCAATTGGCCGTCACTCCACTCTGGTCAACGGAGCAAAGTCTCTTTGCAGTCACGCTGCTTTGTTGGCTGGGCCCATCTGGCAGGGCCGCCCGCTCTCTGCCTCTCACGCCCTCTCCCTGCAGAATGCCACCTTGGGCTTGTCTGAAACCCCATCTGTTCCTGGAGTTTGCTGTGTCGTTTTAAGTAGCTTCAGCTCCCCCCATCATCCTCTGGGCAGAGGCAAGACTTGGCCCCACTTGCCTGATGAGACCCTTTGGCATTCTACAAAGGCTGCGCAGGTTGGGTTGGCTATCACAGTGCTCATCGCTCTGCAGGGCCTGGAGACCAGAGTCGGCAGTCGGTTTGTATCTGCTCTACGGAGGCCCGGCCTGTAGACAGAGTCCCAGGCTGTTCTCTGACATGCCTATCAGTTCTGCCTTGGCATTTCTGCTGAGTAGCCACTTCCCGCAACCCTTGTGTGGATCAGGTTTGTTGTCGTAGCACATCCTGAAATTCAGGAGTTCGCTCCATAGCCAGTGTGAGGAAGAGAGAGCAGCACTGGGAAATCACAGCTCCATTTGCCAGCGCACTGTGTTGTTTTATTCCGGTGTGTTCTGGAGGAGGGCTTTTGCTGATGTTCCTAGTTCTCCCGCTCATCCTTTCTCTGGGGCCATGACAGAGAACAGCGATGCTAGATTATTGCCAAAGAGCTCAGATGTCCCTTCACAGAATTAATGCTTCAGGTCCCACTATTTCCTATGGGAATAAGTCTGTGCCCAGCTCTGGAGTGTGTGTATATTTTCATGGTGATGGTGACTGTATAATACCAGTATGCAGTGTACTTGTAGTTGTGTCAGTCCCAGGATATTAGCAAGACAAGGTGGGGGAGATAATATCTTGTATTGGACCAACTTCTGCTGGTGAATACCAGAGCACAAAGTTCACCTTCTTAGACACTTAACAGCTGTTGAACGGACTAATATACCAGGCTATTGCCTGACATACTGTTCCTCTTTAGCCAAATGTAGTTGGTGAAGGTGAGGAAAAAATAAATCCAGTGATTACTGTGGCTACGGCTTAGATCCCACAGTACTGGACTGACGGCTAGGTAAACGCTCGGGACAGGCAGAAAAAGCGTGACTCTCACTGGGATGTTTCTTTTCAGCTGAAGAGTCCCTTGCCTGTGATAATCCAGGATTACCTGAAAATGGCTACCAAATACTCTACAAACGCCTTTACTTGCCAGGCGAATCCCTGACGTTCATGTGTTATGAAGGCTTTGAGCTAATGGGCGAGGTTACTATCAAATGCATTCTGGGCCAGCCGTCCCACTGGAGCGGACCCCTGCCCATCTGCAAAGGTAACGAGCTTTCTGAGACAGCTGGAAAACAAGACCGCAGTTTGGGAAGGGGCTGGAATCCACCAGGATTTTGCAGGTGTCCTCAGCTAGTTCCCGCCACGCCAGAGAATTAGCTCTGAGCAGCGACGTCCTCCAGCACGGAGATTTCCCCATTCTCACCGCCATTAAAAGGCAGCAGAGCATGTCACTGCAGTCCCCTCCTTAAGAGCTCCTTCTTCTGCTTTACCTTCAGCCCTGAAAACAAACAGCTCTCCAGGTGTCACCCAGGCTCTCTGACGCATTGGTGTTGCCAGGTTTCCAGCCACGGGCATCGGAGATTTTGGTAGTTGTTACGGATTTATCTCTAAGAGGTTCTGCCCGCCCCGGGGAGGGAATCCATCTCAACCCCTTCCTAGTGAACTGTGTCAGAAGCTGCTAACTAGCAGCAGTTGCCCAGCACGTGGCAGACAGGGCTCGGGGAGCAGGAATGGACCCCAGAGTGTCCAGAGGGGTCTGGATTCTGCCCCACGTCCGGTGAACACTTTGTTCCTGCATTTAACATTTCTCTACGTGGACCATTGTGATTCTGCCTTGGGTCACGAGTTGATGACCATAACCCTTGGCCCAGAGGAAGCTCTGCTTGGTGAACTGGCCAGTTTTCAGTTTGAGTCTATTTCCTGGACACAAGGAGGGACCTCCTGGTAACACACTAAACAGCAGGGAATAACCATCCCGCAATTTCCTGTGAATTGCCCAGTAACAGTGTCCCGGACCAGCAGTGTATTTCCAGGCTTTTGCAGATTGCTCAGGAGAGGATAATGTAATTCCCCTGACCCCAGGCTTCGCTTGGCAGCTGAGTGCCCTGTAGTTATATGGCGCTTGTTGTAAGGCCAGTCCGGGAATGCCTTCGGTGGGTGCAGAAAGGCCAAAAGCATCCAAAGAGCTCAGTGTTGGGGGCACAGTTTGGGGTCTGTGGAGAGAAGCAGAAACTCCAAATTGGGGGACTCCCCGTGCCCACGTGCTGATGGAAGAGACCTTTGGGGTGTGTCACTGCAGAGGGCAGGGGCATGGGTGTGAATGGGAGGGGAAGTTGAGAAGGATGCACAGGGACACTCATGCGGGATGCCCACCAGAACTTTATTTCCTCTCTCTCCTAAAACAAGGACGAGAGGATATTCAAAGCAATTGAAAGGTAGCAAATTTAAAATTGATGCAAGGAAATCTCCTTTTACCCAGCATGGGATTAGCCTTTGGAACTCACTGTCACAAGATGCAATTGAGACCAAGAGTAGAGCAGGATTCAAGAAAGAAACAGACAGTGATATGGATAATGAGAGAAGCCACAGTTAAATTAGACAGGGCTGAAAATATTAATGACGGTTATAAACTCTCGTGCTCAGGGCATGAGGCGACTGCTCCTGACGGGGTTGCAGGAAATGTCCCCAAAGGGCAAGTCATTCCATAATCACCCACGATGGGCTTTCTGGCACCTTTCTTGGAAGCATTTGAAACAAGCCACTGATGGAGAAAAGAGAGCAGACAATTGCCCATCAGATGTTCCTATGAAAGTGCTCAGCGAGCTTCCCCTGAAGGAGGAGATCCAGGGGGGTTCCTTATGCTGCTGGGAATGTCCTTCTGGCTAGTTCTAATTTCTGGCCTGGGGCACTAGAGTTTTCACAAAGAGGGAAAACAGTAAATCCACCTAAGGGAAATGTGGGTATTTTTCTCATTTCACACGAGACTGCCAGCCCCCATGACCATCTCGAACCCTGCCAACAATTCCCAATTTCTCTTGCAGTGAATCAAGACAGTTTTGAACACGCTTTAGAAGGTGAGTGAAATGCATTTGCTGGAAAATCCCAGTCAGGCAGAGCACATGTCTGGCACCGCCCTCTGGAGAGTGCAGCACCTGCATTTGGTCAGATAATGCAAACAAATTTGCAACAAGTATGCATTGCAGCATTGACATTGCTCTGCAGTTCAGAAATTAGGGACTCTGGAATGCAGCTGGGCTGACGGCTCTGCATGGGAGGGTGTCACGTGCCCTCAGTGCAGGACTCTTCAGAGGGATAGAATATTTGGGGAGGTCCTCTGGGCAGAAGGGCTTGGTCTGAGGCTTTGAGTACTCGTGGTCACCCACTGGGGCCTGCAGCTGGGACCACTGGAGAGCAATTGCATTTCAGACAATAAAATCTCTCTTTCACCTGCCCGTCTCCTGCAGGGCACCTCAAGGCCCCACTTTGTGCTCCCAGCTGTTATGGGACACTAGACAATAGATGGGGTTGGTTTGGGCTTGTGAAGAAACCCAGGGCCACCCAGGGGGGGGGAGCAAGTGGGGCAATTTGCCCCAGGCCCCCACGAGAGTTTTTCGGGGCCCCTGGAGCGGGGTCCTTCACTCGCTCTGGGCGCCCTGGAAAATTCTCGTGGGGCCCGGGCCCCCGGAGCTTCTTCCACTCCAGGTCTTCAGCGACAATTCAGCGGCGGGGGTTCCTTCCGCCCCAGGACCCGTCACCGAAGTGCCGGGTCTTCAGCGGGAATTCGGCGGCGGGGGCCCTCCGCTGCCGAAGACCCCAGGCCCCCTGAATCCTCTGGGTGGCCCTGAAGAAACCTGGGTCTTACGGTTACATTTCAAACAAGCCTCATTCTGCAGCTGGCCACAGAGACAAGGCAGTACCATGAGGGGAGGGAAAGGTTAGGAGGGAAGCAGAGCCCAAGGGCGGGGCGGGGGGGGTGAATCCTAAACGTTTGGCCTATGGGAACATAATGAATATTGTGTTTTCAGTAGCAGAAGCTGCCGCAGAGACGTCGCTCGAAGGGGGAAACATGGCGCTAGCCATATTCATCCCAGTGCTGATCATCTCACTACTGCTGGGGGGCGCATACATCTATATCACAAGGTGGGGACCCACTCTAACAGCAACACTGGGCACTTCTCCAGGGATCTCAGAGCGCTGGGCAAACAGCAGCTCAGAAGCCTCCCAGTGCCCTCTGCCCAGTGCTGTGTTCCTCCCGAGAGGGAGCACCCAGCAGCTACCCCAGACCCTGTGGGTGCTGAGGGGCCAGGCAGCTCTGATAATTAGGCCCTTACCTCGCAGTATTTGCTGCCGGTATTGCGTGATCTCCGTGCTGAGCAGTGAATGCAGGCGGGAGAGCAAAGGGGAATGGGTGATTTGGGAGCGTGAGTGTGGGCTGCCTTGCTCCATTGGCTTCACCACTCCACATGCGCAAGCCATTGGGTTCTGCGTTGTTCCAACCCAGCGAGGTGACTTCTCTGTCTTGCGTCTCTTTTTCTCAGATGTCGGTACTACTCCAACTTGCGCTTGCCCCTCATGTATTCCCACCCATACAGCCAGATCACCGTAGAGACGGAGTTTGACAACCCAATTTACGAGACAGGGGTGAGTTGGCCTTTCAGTGCCTCAGTTCTCTCCAGCCGTACATTACGTTAAACTGAAGGTGAAGGCTTGGCGCAAACTCACAGCAAGAGGGAAGGTTACGAACCCCCCTCAAGGTCCCTCCTGAGAGAACATCTCTGCTTCTTATCGCCCTCTGTGTCCCGGTGGGCAAATGATGCAGCGGGTCAGCCAGAAAATCAGTCTTTAGGGGAGTTTCAACAGCACCAGCATTTCCACCCCATCCTGGGGACAGGGTGAGCCGAACAATCAGAGCGAGGGGCGGGGGGCGTTAGAGTTTAGCCAAGGAGGGTCTAATACCCTCCTGCTGACTGCTGGGCTCCCCTCTCCTGGCCCTTTGGCATGTGAGACTCCCCCAGGCGCAGGTAGGACCCCTGAGGTCTAAAGCAGGGGATGTGAGTGGCTCTGTGGAGTCTGCAGTGACACGACAGGCTCGTTGTGGGGCAGGTACAGCAGTTACACTGAACTAGTCTCCCCCGAGGGGTCTCTGAGCTAAGCCCAGTGCCAGGGAAACTGCGGGGCCTGCTGGAAGTCCTGTCCTCACCTACCGCAGCTGCTTTGCACAATGGCTTCTGTCTAACTTCTAACTAGGAGAGCACCAGATCCTGCCAGGTGCTGAGCAACCAGCTCCCGTTACATGGGGCGAGAGTCTCACAGCCAAGCTCTGAGTTCCATGTTAGGACAAGGGGCCTGTTTGAGCAACCAGGTGTGTGTGTCTAGGGGCATGAGAAATAAGGCAGTGCCTTGGCGTGAGTTAGGTCTTCAAATCAGTGTTGCCTACTCTCAGTTTTATCACGAGCCTCACAATATTTGGCATTTGACTCAGAGCCCCAGCTCCCACAGGCCACAGATTGCATGAGAATCTCGGCTTTCATTTTAAAAAGTCAGTTTCCAGCCCCTGTGGTTGTGAAGAAAAGCTGGAAAATGTGACCCAAGTGTGACCCAAAGGCTCCGAAACCAGAAGGCAGAGTAAAAGACCCCAAATGTATTATCTGTTTAAACCTCGTGATTTTTAAACCAATCTTGTGATTTTTGGGACCTGATTTATGGTTTCTGAATGTCCGGAGTTGGCCATACTGTTGTCTCCATGAGAAAACTGTACCGAATAGCGTATCAGTTTAGAAACGGGTCTAGTTAAATTGACACAGCCCTCTTGCACGGGCCCTCTTAAATAGAAATCAAAGGGAGACACCTGGGGTTTTGAACCCTTTAACTACATCAGCTTCTAAACCAATTTAATGAAATCAAGCCAGTTTTCTTGCATTGACAAGGCCTAGATCTCACCTGGGTCTGATCTCATATAGACCAGGGCTGATTAATGTGGGTGGAAACCCAACCATTCCTTTAAACTTTAAACATTCCTTTTTCTTCTTTTTAGGAAACAAGAGAATATGAAGTTTCAATATAAAGACAGTGATACGAGAGTCTCCAAATGTGAACTTAATCCACTCCAATAGAACTTCCTCCGTAACTAATCCAGAGACCATGTGGAGTTTAATTGGAATCCTGGACCTACTCTTGTCTGTCCTTTTGCCTCTTTATTGATGATTTCACTGTTTTCTTCGCTGTATTTATTCTATTTAACTTGAGATAGATGTGTTCAGAGTGTTCCCGGCAGGCTGTACTCCGCTCCCTGGGTGTACCAGACCTCTGAGGACCAGTGCAGAGCTACCAGCCCACACATGAAGGTGGGGAGGTGCAGGGATCAGCTGGCCCCATCCCGCAGCAGCGACAGTCTCCAACTCTGCACTGGCCACACGCAAAGAGATTTTACGTTTTTCGTGGTGTTAAAAATTAAAATGTCTCCATGCAAGATCCTGCAGTTAACTGCCAAGAGCTGGGTTAGACCCAGAGTATTATACATAGAGAGTCTTTCTGAGCACTGTCCTAAGCCTAACTACTGCCCACACATTTCCGGTTCTCCTAGAGTTTGATCAGGCATCTGGTGCTACGCTCTCTGATTCAAAGAGCAGTGAGTAGAGGGAGCAGCCTCTCTCCTGGGGCCCATCTCAGGAAAGTTACCAGGCAGGTACAGCGCGGTGCCCTCGGGTGTCTGGGGAGAAAGGGGAAGCAGAGACCAAACTAGCAAGTTACATGCTACTTGCTTGGCCCAGTTTGTTTTTAATCCTGGAGAGGCACATACAAGAACATGTGAGCTGCTGCAGAGAAGCCTTAACGTGTGCAACCAGCGATTGCTGAGCATATCAACCCTGGTCTGAGAGACCTTGGCAGGCATGGGTACAATCTTCTCGGGCTGTGTTTCTGCTACACTGGGAACAGACAGGCTTGCTTGTCTTCTGCTCACCCCTGTTATTGCTTTTTAATAACATTTACTGTGGCCAGTGCAAGGAATATGCAGTCTCTCTCAAAGTCGGAGTTCCCCTTTTGCCCACTTTATTGTAAGTATCTCAGGGTAATAACGATGGAATACAGGATCCTATCACATGCTCTGGTTAATTTTGGAGCATTCGCCCTTCAAGGTCACGGTGCCCTCATGCAACTGGAAGAGTCCACTGTTCTTCTGGAATAGCTGCTCTGGGAAGGGCAGGTGGGCTGGTTAGTTAGCCACAACTCTGCATGGGAAGAGCCAGAGTCAGTCCTTCCTCCCATCTTCCCGGAGCATGCAAAGCCAGAGTGCACTTGATCAGATCTCAGCAGCACGGGAAGACTTTATGGCAGCAACCAAACCACCACGTTCCTGTCGTTCCAAACCCATCCCAGGGCGCTGCCACTACTCCGAGGCAGAAAACAGCGTCCAGTAAGAGCTGCACTGTCCAGCTTTGAGCTAACAGGAAATCAACTAGATTTGCACTCGGCTTGTGAGTCAGGCATTGGGCAAACCCCACTTGGAGAAGAGAGAATAGACTAGTGGGATGATGGTAGGGAAGAAAGTCAGGTAGCAAACCTTCCCTGACTTCACCACAGGAGCCCAATCGCTGGAGGAACATAGCAGGCAAAATAGAGCCTTTAGTAGCCACTTCCATCTTGATCTAACCCTGTGACAACTGGAATTCGAGCACCACATTCATATTCTTTGGTTCTGGAGAATAATATGTTCACATTTAACAAAACAAATGCTCAAATGTTTTCTTTTCATGGAAACATAAAGATTCACAAAAGGTTCCAATGACTTAGTGACCAATATTTCTCTTCACAAAACTGGCGGTCACACAGGACCATTCCTGCTATCGTTGGAGGGACAGCGACATTGTTGATGTTTCTTTGGCTGCTGGTGTCTTTTTTCTGTCTGTGTAGAATGGCAGTTCTAACCATGACAACGTTGTCAAGTCCGTTTTAGTTTAGAGAAGGTTAGTGCATCTCTGCAGTGGTATGACTGAGACATTCGATTTTTTTTCCTTTGAAAAAAACAAAACTGAATGTGTATTTGTAATTTGTAAAGGTTAAAAAAAAAGAAAAACAAAAACAAAAAAAGGTAGCCAGAAATGTACCAGGTATTTCGTTTCTGTTCATATATGTCTGTTTTTATAAGAACAATGTGAAAATTGTTGGGATTAAATATTTTTGAACATGATCCAGGACTTCCATGGGAAGCTCTAGAATTTAGTGTAACCTTAATACAAATTGTACTATATTTTTTAATGGTTGAAAATAAGTTTAACAAAAATTTGAGCCACAGAATATGCCTGTGCTTCAGCCTGTATTACGTGCTGCATACACGTCAACGCGATCTGCCATGTGATCCGCAGGTCTCCATGGTTACACACCAGACCCTTCCATTGTCACATTCGTGAATGAGTCTGATCCGAAATGAGTGAATGGTGCAGAAGAGTCCCCCTGGACCCAAACCGTGACGATTGATGCCTTGGGTCCATCTCACAGTATTTCAACTGTGGAGTTTTTCTCCAGAAAATGGGCCCAGGTTATCCCCTGCTGCATATGAGCCTGGTGGCTCTCAGGGGCGCCTCAGGGCTAGATTCTAGTCCCTCAGAAGTCACTGGGATGAGATTGGGCTCTCTGTGTTCTCCAAAGCCTACCCAGCCCAAAGGAGTCTTCAGTTTCCTTTAGATTTGGTTTTACAAACTATCGAGATGCAAATCTCTTCGTTTCCCCCCTGGGAAGAAACACAGGAGCAACTGCTCCTTTGCTTTTCACTCTCAAGAGTGTATTACCAGACTATCGGGGCAACATGCCGCCCTCTTTAGAACAAGCCTGCTGTGCTACATAAATTCAGCGCACCAGGGCAGGCAGACGAATGGCAGGTAACCAGGAATGGAAGTGATCCCTTATTTAGTTACTATTTCCTTTCTATACATATATAAATATAATAGGATGGAGAGGTGGAAGGCCCCATGGCCGCTCACTTTAAAAAGCCTTCCCTTGCCTCCTGCTGTGTTACTTTAGTGCATTATTTAGCATGTTAAACCAAGTCTTCTGAGCAAGGGAAGCAAAGGGACCCTACCAGATGCATCTGTTTTCTGGGGCTCAGAGCCTCTGCATTGGTGGTCTGGGCTCATCTGGAGGCAGTTTCCATTGGCTGAAGACTGGGAGAAATTTCAACCCTGCAGTAAACAGGCCCCGCTCCCAGGGAAGAGAAGGGGAGACACACCTGCTTCCTGGGCTGGTTTGGCAGTGGATCTTTTACTGCTGGTGCCGTTAGCTAAGAGGCGTTTGCACTTTGTCCCGGGGCAGAATGAAAGCAAGTGGGAAATGAGACAAATGCCCTTGCCTTATCCATGGATGAAAACAACAGACCTTCCCCGGTCGCCTCGCTGTTGAACATCACAACGTCCTGCCCCATGGGGCAGGGAAACACCCCTCGACCGTAGAGACTGGCTCCCTCTCGGAGTCAGTGTGGCCCAAATCATCCAACCCTGTGGGATCAGAGATTTGCGCTAGCCCTGGCAGAGTCTAGGACTTTCTCCTCAGTTGAGCTGGGACTCTGGTTTGGGTGCAGAGCGCAGAACATCTGCTGATGGAGCGCATACTCCATGAGGTCTGTGTTTCCGCTGTCAGCAGTCAGAAGGGTCAGTGGAGATAAAGGAGATCGACTGTCCGGAGGAGTAAGCGTGTGGCAAGCAGTACGTACTCAACTAATGTTTCCCCCCCGCATCACAGACTCAGAGCAGGTGACCCAAATGAGCTAAACTCT